GGAGCGCGGCCGGGGCGGAGCGGAGCGAAGCGAGGGCAGCCCGGACCGAGCCCAGCCGAGGCCAGGCGGTGCCCGGCGGGCAGGGAGTACTGTAATACCGGCCCGGAGCGGTACGCGGGTGTCCGAGGCTCGAGCGTCTCGGCCCGGGTGAGCTGCCACCTCCCTCCCCGTGGGAAGGGTCTCCCTCCCCGGTATATGGCCGGGGCCCTCCCGGCCGCCGGTGGTGGAGGACAGCCCGGCAGTGCACTAGCCCCGACCCTGGTGCCAGGCACCGTCTGCAGGTACCTGGCGTCCTCCGCACAAGGGCCTGAAGGTGTTAAAGCCGAGCTGCTGAGGGTAGACTTGGTCTGGGAACCGACGATTCCCTCTAGTGAGAGACTGTTGGCATTACCTCTGTGAAGTATCCGTGCTGGTATGAGCGAGGCTAGAAACGCAAGGATTCAGATGGCTCTGGGTGCAGGGGAGAGCTGGAGAGTCAGGAGAGCAGTATAGACGCAGCTCAACCTCAGGAGTACAGGCCAAATAGCTAAGGGACCCCATCTTAGGGATCAGATAGGGATAATACTTTTCTACTGAAGATTGAGGCAGAACATGGGACCTGCTAAAACAATTTCTTTTTCTTCTTCCAGCAAGATAAGAGAACATGCAAGTTCCCCAGAGAAGTGATTTGTTAAATACAAGCTTCTTACCAACTCAGGCTATAGGGAAAACATAACGCTGCAACTTTATATACACACAGGAGACAGGTATTTCTTTGAACGCAGGTCACGCTTTATTCTGAAGTCTGCTTGCCATTATTCCAGCCTTAGCACAGGGACCATGCCAGGACATAAGTTACATTAGGAATGATTACAAAGCATTGTTTGCCAGGAAAATAACTCACACCTATCTCCCCTAATTTAATAACAGGATATCCTATTAGCATGGCAGAGTAACTCCTGGCAAAAGCTGCCTCATTTGCCAGCTTCTTAATGGCTGCAAAAGGTTTCATGCATGGAGTTACTCACACACAAACAGATGATCCCTGAAGTCGTTTATATGACTAGGAAAGATAATCCCACTGCAAATTGGCATGCTTAAAAGAAAATATCACCTTGTTAAGTGTTCCTCTGTGAAAGAAAAAGTGTTTGGCTGATCCATAAAGAGAAGTCTCTTTTTGAGAAGCAGCCTCTTGCCCCCAGCTGTTCCTGGTCTTCTGCAGGGCTGAGCCTCACCAGAAGCATGAACAGCAGAAAGGAAGTTGTGTCTGTAACACATATTTTTAAACTTGTAGGAGGAGGAAAATAGTATCAAAGATCAAGTGCATCATCCTTTCAAGATCTCTGCAGCTTGGATGAATTAAAAACAAATCCAGCATTAAAAATAAGTTGAGACCACTTCTCTCCCACAGCTTGTCTCACCAAGAATTAGCCATTCACACATACAGCTGGGCCAACTTAAAAAGCTGAAGTACAGGTCCCCATCTTCCCTTTCAGTGCAGCAGCAGGATTTAAAAGAAATAGTAAATCAAAATATGGAATCACCCCACCTTGGTTATCAAGTCTTCTTGCAAACTACATCTTACTGTAAACTCAGCCTGGGCCAGGGATAGAGCAGAAGGCACTCTTGGCACGATTGGCAGTTGGACACACAATTAAAAGAAAGTGCTGTTCTAGCCAGGGAGCCTTGGCCAGAAGAGCTGGAATTTTTCAGAGATCTCCCTCTGGTGCATTAGTTTTTATCTCCTTTGCAGCCAGTGCCACCTCCGTGTCTTTCTCTGCCTTCTCTTCCAGCTTCTCTAGCACTTTACACCCTTCCCCCAGGATCCTGTTTGCTCCCTTTGGTTCTTTGGGTATCTTAGCCACCTCCTTTGATGATGTAGCCTTCTCCAATACAGGGGATTTTATATCAGTCACCATACTTTTCTTCTTCTTCTTCTGCTTCTGCTTCCTGCTATCCTGTGACACTTTAGCTATCGCCCTGAAGGGACCCACAAGCCAGTTTAGAGGGATGTTCTGAGTTACATACTCAAAGAGGTCATCTAGGGACCTTCGGGCTTCTGCCACACAGTCCTGGCTCTGGGTCAGGGTGGTGCTGGAGAGATCCTGGAAAGACATAGCACTGGAAAAAGAACTATGGAGCTTGTGGATATTTCGAGTGGCCTGATACACTGCTTCTTGGATGTTGCTGGGGAGGCCTTGGATGCTGGCTTTCAGATTCTCATAAACAGGTTGTAGCTGCTGGGTGATGATATGCAGCATAGCTAGAGTCCGTGACTCTACCTGCTGGGAAAGAGATATAGCTCAGTTACTAGAGCAGATGAGATGTACACCATCCACCAGAGGCCTGATTAAATACGCCCTTCTAGGGATACCTCTGGTTGGGAGGCAGTTTTAACTTGGTTTCCTTTGGGTTGGGTCAGGCTCCAGTCCACCCACAGCTGATGGAGCTTCTCCTGCCCATCTAGAAGCTTCTGGCCAACCTCTTGTTTCACAGATTCGATCTGATGGGAAAAATGAAAGGAACAGCTGTATTGCAAGCACAGACAATCAGTGAAGCATGAGTGCTTCCCTCCCAGGGAGGGATCCAAGATGACATGCAGCTGGTGCAGGATAGAGGAAGAGCTTCCATCTGGATAGTAGGGCAGGAAGACTACAGACAGGAGGAAAAAGGAAAAAGCATGTTTGTACCAGTTTTATTGCCAGCTGTAGTCGTGAGAGAATATCCTGGGTGCTTTGCTTAATGCACTGCAGTTTGTTGAGGGAGTGCCGATAAGCTCGGTGGCGGACTTTGTTAGAGAGGGAACCCAGACGCACAAAGTAACTCCGTTGCTGTTTCTGCTCCTCCACAGAAGCCATACCAAACCCCTCCACAGCAGTGGCCAGTTTACCTGGAGGAAACAAGAACAGAGATGCAGCCGTGCTCCACTCCCCCAGCTGTCAGTGGGGGGGAAGAGGTAAGATCACCCATTGAAAAACATGAAGGCTGAAGCTTGCAGTAGAGGTTTGTAGTTGCTCAGATATTAGAGGTAGGCTAGTCCCTGCTCAACGCGTTCTCTTCAGATAAGCAGACTTGACAGATAGGTTGAAGCATGCACCCACATGTTTATCTACCTTGAGGCTGGTAGGCAAGGACCAGCTAGCAAATGCTTGAACTCTGTCCCATACCATGTGGCAAGTCAGTGTTGACAGACAGCCAACTTGGTGACAAGTTCAGAGCTACCTGTCTGCTTCAGAAGATGAGTCTTGCAGTGTCAGGTGCTCTCTAGTCATGCAGGAAAAGATTTGCATTTACAACCGCCAGCTAGGGATTTTCTCACCTAGTTCTTCCTCTGTCATTGGGAGGTAGTGATCCACCAGATCTTCTGATATACCCAGGACAGATTCAACACCACCTGCCACTGCTTGGCTCACTGCCTTGGCTTTGCTTATGCTGTTGGTCACCACTGAATTAGTCATCTCCACACCCTCCTGGATAGCCTCTCTGCTCTGCTCCAAGACTGTATTTATTTTGCTAGTTACGGTGCCATATGCAGCATCCAGAGCTGTATTGACTGTAGAAGTGACTACTGATTTGGTCTTCTCAACACCATCCTGAACAGCTCCTTTGGTTAGGTCCATTGCTTCAGTCACTGTGTTGGTCACAAGATCCTTTGCACCCTGGGCAGCCCCTACAGCAGCAGTAACAGTAGAAGCAACTGCAGACTTGGTCAGTCCAACACTGTCCTCCACAATGTGTTTAGTGAGATCCACTGCCTCTGTCACCTTGTTAGTCACAAGGTCCTTGGCACCCTGGGCAGCCTCCACAGCATTGACAATAGTAGAAGCGACTGCAGACTTGGTCAGCCCAACGCTATCCTCCACAAAATGTTTACTGAGGTCCACGGCTTCGGTCACCTTGTTAGTCACAAGGTCCTTGGCACCCTGGGCAGCCTCCACAGCATTGACAATAGTAGAAGCGACTGCAGACTTGGTCAGCCCAACGCTATCCTCCACAAAATGTTTACTGAGGTCCACGGCTTCGGTCACCTTGTTAGTCACAAGGTCCTTGGCACCCTGGGCAGCCTCCACAGCATTGACAATAGTAGAAGCGACTGCAGACTTGGTCAGCCCAACGCTATCCTCCACAAAATGTTTACTGAGGTCCACGGCTTCGGTCACCTTGTTAGTCACAAGGTCCTTGGCACCCTGGGCAGCCTCCACAGCATTGACAATAGTAGAAGCGACTGCAGACTTGGTCAGCCCAACGCTATCCTCCACAAAATGTTTACTGAGGTCCACGGCTTCGGTCACCTTGTTAGTCACAAGGTCCTTGGCACCCTGGGCAGCCTCCACAGCATTGACAATAGTAGAAGCGACTGCAGACTTGGTCAGCCCAACGCTATCCTCCACAAAATGTTTACTGAGGTCCACGGCTTCGGTCACCTTGTTAGTCACAAGGTCCTTGGCACCCTGGGCAGCCTCCACAGCATTGACAATAGTAGAAGCGACTGCAGACTTGGTCAGCCCAACGCTATCCTCCACAAAATGTTTACTGAGGTCCACGGCTTCGGTCACCTTGTTAGTCACAAGGTCCTTGGCACCCTGGGCAGCCTCCACAGCATTGACAATAGTAGAAGCGACTGCAGACTTGGTCAGCCCAACGCTATCCTCCACAAAATGTTTACTGAGGTCCACGGCTTCGGTCACCTTGTTAGTCACAAGGTCCTTGGCACCCTGGGCAGCCTCCACAGCATTGACAATAGTAGAAGCGACTGCAGACTTGGTCAGCCCAACGCTATCCTCCACAAAATGTTTACTGAGGTCCACGGCTTCGGTCACCTTGTTAGTCACAAGGTCCTTGGCACCCTGGGCAGCCTCCACAGCATTGACAATAGTAGAAGCGACTGCAGACTTGGTCAGCCCAACGCTATCCTCCACAAAATGTTTACTGAGGTCCACGGCTTCGGTCACCTTGTTAGTCACAAGGTCCTTGGCACCCTGGGCAGCCTCCACAGCATTGACAATAGTAGAAGCGACTGCAGACTTGGTCAGCCCAACGCTATCCTCCACAAAATGTTTACTGAGGTCCACGGCTTCGGTCACCTTGTTAGTCACAAGGTCCTTGGCACCCTGGGCAGCCTCCACAGCATTGACAATAGTAGAAGCGACTGCAGACTTGGTCAGCCCAACGCTATCCTCCACAAAATGTTTACTGAGGTCCACGGCTTCGGTCACCTTGTTAGTCACAAGGTCCTTGGCACCCTGGGCAGCCTCCACAGCATTGACAATAGTAGAAGCGACTGCAGACTTGGTCAGCCCAACGCTATCCTCCACAAAATGTTTACTGAGGTCCACGGCTTCGGTCACCTTGTTAGTCACAAGGTCCTTGGCACCCTGGGCAGCCTCCACAGCATTGACAATAGTAGAAGCGACTGCAGACTTGGTCAGCCCAACGCTATCCTCCACAAAATGTTTACTGAGGTCCACGGCTTCGGTCACCTTGTTAGTCACAAGGTCCTTGGCACCCTGGGCAGCCTCCACAGCATTGACAATAGTAGAAGCGACTGCAGACTTGGTCAGCCCAACGCTATCCTCCACAAAATGTTTACTGAGGTCCACGGCTTCGGTCACCTTGTTAGTCACAAGGTCCTTGGCACCCTGGGCAGCCTCCACAGCATTGACAATAGTAGAAGCGACTGCAGACTTGGTCAGCCCAACGCTATCCTCCACAAAATGTTTACTGAGGTCCACGGCTTCGGTCACCTTGTTAGTCACAAGGTCCTTGGCACCCTGGGCAGCCTCCACAGCATTGACAATAGTAGAAGCGACTGCAGACTTGGTCAGCCCAACGCTATCCTCCACAAAATGTTTACTGAGGTCCACGGCTTCGGTCACCTTGTTAGTCACAAGGTCCTTGGCACCCTGGGCAGCCTCCACAGCATTGACAATAGTAGAAGCGACTGCAGACTTGGTCAGCCCAACGCTATCCTCCACAAAATGTTTACTGAGGTCCACGGCTTCGGTCACCTTGTTAGTCACAAGGTCCTTGGCACCCTGGGCAGCCTCCACAGCATTGACAATAGTAGAAGCGACTGCAGACTTGGTCAGCCCAACGCTATCCTCCACAAAATGTTTACTGAGGTCCACGGCTTCGGTCACCTTGTTAGTCACAAGGTCCTTGGCACCCTGGGCAGCCTCCACAGCATTGACAATAGTAGAAGCGACTGCAGACTTGGTCAGCCCAACGCTATCCTCCACAAAATGTTTACTGAGGTCCACGGCTTCGGTCACCTTGTTAGTCACAAGGTCCTTGGCACCCTGGGCAGCCTCCACAGCATTGACAATAGTAGAAGCGACTGCAGACTTGGTCAGCCCAACGCTATCCTCCACAAAATGTTTACTGAGGTCCACGGCTTCGGTCACCTTGTTAGTCACAAGGTCCTTGGCACCCTGGGCAGCCTCCACAGCATTGACAATAGTAGAAGCGACTGCAGACTTGGTCAGCCCAACGCTATCCTCCACAAAATGTTTACTGAGGTCCACGGCTTCGGTCACCTTGTTAGTCACAAGGTCCTTGGCACCCTGGGCAGCCTCCACAGCATTGACAATAGTAGAAGCGACTGCAGACTTGGTCAGCCCAACGCTATCCTCCACAAAATGTTTACTGAGGTCCACGGCTTCGGTCACCTTGTTAGTCACAAGGTCCTTGGCACCCTGGGCAGCCTCCACAGCATTGACAATAGTAGAAGCGACTGCAGACTTGGTCAGCCCAACGCTATCCTCCACAAAATGTTTACTGAGGTCCACGGCTTCGGTCACCTTGTTAGTCACAAGGTCCTTGGCACCCTGGGCAGCCTCCACAGCATTGACAATAGTAGAAGCGACTGCAGACTTGGTCAGCCCAACGCTATCCTCCACAAAATGTTTACTGAGGTCCACGGCTTCGGTCACCTTGTTAGTCACAAGGTCCTTGGCACCCTGGGCAGCCTCCACAGCATTGACAATAGTAGAAGCGACTGCAGACTTGGTCAGCCCAACGCTATCCTCCACAAAATGTTTACTGAGGTCCACGGCTTCGGTCACCTTGTTAGTCACAAGGTCCTTGGCACCCTGGGCAGCCTCCACAGCATTGACAATAGTAGAAGCGACTGCAGACTTGGTCAGCCCAACGCTATCCTCCACAAAATGTTTACTGAGGTCCACGGCTTCGGTCACCTTGTTAGTCACAAGGTCCTTGGCACCCTGGGCAGCCTCCACAGCATTGACAATAGTAGAAGCGACTGCAGACTTGGTCAGCCCAACGCTATCCTCCACAAAATGTTTACTGAGGTCCACGGCTTCGGTCACCTTGTTAGTCACAAGGTCCTTGGCACCCTGGGCAGCCTCCACAGCATTGACAATAGTAGAAGCGACTGCAGACTTGGTCAGCCCAACGCTATCCTCCACAAAATGTTTACTGAGGTCCACGGCTTCGGTCACCTTGTTAGTCACAAGGTCCTTGGCACCCTGGGCAGCCTCCACAGCATTGACAATAGTAGAAGCGACTGCAGACTTGGTCAGCCCAACGCTATCCTCCACAAAATGTTTACTGAGGTCCACGGCTTCGGTCACCTTGTTAGTCACAAGGTCCTTGGCACCCTGGGCAGCCTCCACAGCATTGACAATAGTAGAAGCGACTGCAGACTTGGTCAGCCCAACGCTATCCTCCACAAAATGTTTACTGAGGTCCACGGCTTCGGTCACCTTGTTAGTCACAAGGTCCTTGGCACCCTGGGCAGCCTCCACAGCATTGACAATAGTAGAAGCGACTGCAGACTTGGTCAGCCCAACGCTATCCTCCACAAAATGTTTACTGAGGTCCACGGCTTCGGTCACCTTGTTAGTCACAAGGTCCTTGGCACCCTGGGCAGCCTCCACAGCATTGACAATAGTAGAAGCGACTGCAGACTTGGTCAGCCCAACGCTATCCTCCACAAAATGTTTACTGAGGTCCACGGCTTCGGTCACCTTGTTAGTCACAAGGTCCTTGGCACCCTGGGCAGCCTCCACAGCATTGACAATAGTAGAAGCGACTGCAGACTTGGTCAGCCCAACGCTATCCTCCACAAAATGTTTACTGAGGTCCACGGCTTCGGTCACCTTGTTAGTCACAAGGTCCTTGGCACCCTGGGCAGCCTCCACAGCATTGACAATAGTAGAAGCGACTGCAGACTTGGTCAGCCCAACGCTATCCTCCACAAAATGTTTACTGAGGTCCACGGCTTCGGTCACCTTGTTAGTCACAAGGTCCTTGGCACCCTGGGCAGCCTCCACAGCATTGACAATAGTAGAAGCGACTGCAGACTTGGTCAGCCCAACGCTATCCTCCACAAAATGTTTACTGAGGTCCACGGCTTCGGTCACCTTGTTAGTCACAAGGTCCTTGGCACCCTGGGCAGCCTCCACAGCATTGACAATAGTAGAAGCGACTGCAGACTTGGTCAGCCCAACGCTATCCTCCACAAAATGTTTACTGAGGTCCACGGCTTCGGTCACCTTGTTAGTCACAAGGTCCTTGGCACCCTGGGCAGCCTCCACAGCATTGACAATAGTAGAAGCGACTGCAGACTTGGTCAGCCCAACGCTATCCTCCACAAAATGTTTACTGAGGTCCACGGCTTCGGTCACCTTGTTAGTCACAAGGTCCTTGGCACCCTGGGCAGCCTCCACAGCATTGACAATAGTAGAAGCGACTGCAGACTTGGTCAGCCCAACGCTATCCTCCACAAAATGTTTACTGAGGTCCACGGCTTCGGTCACCTTGTTAGTCACAAGGTCCTTGGCACCCTGGGCAGCCTCCACAGCATTGACAATAGTAGAAGCGACTGCAGACTTGGTCAGCCCAACGCTATCCTCCACAAAATGTTTACTGAGGTCCACGGCTTCGGTCACCTTGTTAGTCACAAGGTCCTTGGCACCCTGGGCAGCCTCCACAGCATTGACAATAGTAGAAGCGACTGCAGACTTGGTCAGCCCAACGCTATCCTCCACAAAATGTTTACTGAGGTCCACGGCTTCGGTCACCTTGTTAGTCACAAGGTCCTTGGCACCCTGGGCAGCCTCCACAGCATTGACAATAGTAGAAGCGACTGCAGACTTGGTCAGCCCAACGCTATCCTCCACAAAATGTTTACTGAGGTCCACGGCTTCGGTCACCTTGTTAGTCACAAGGTCCTTGGCACCCTGGGCAGCCTCCACAGCATTGACAATAGTAGAAGCGACTGCAGACTTGGTCAGCCCAACGCTATCCTCCACAAAATGTTTACTGAGGTCCACGGCTTCGGTCACCTTGTTAGTCACAAGGTCCTTGGCACCCTGGGCAGCCTCCACAGCATTGACAATAGTAGAAGCGACTGCAGACTTGGTCAGCCCAACGCTATCCTCCACAAAATGTTTACTGAGGTCCACGGCTTCGGTCACCTTGTTAGTCACAAGGTCCTTGGCACCCTGGGCAGCCTCCACAGCATTGACAATAGTAGAAGCGACTGCAGACTTGGTCAGCCCAACGCTATCCTCCACAAAATGTTTACTGAGGTCCACGGCTTCGGTCACCTTGTTAGTCACAAGGTCCTTGGCACCCTGGGCAGCCTCCACAGCATTGACAATAGTAGAAGCGACTGCAGACTTGGTCCGGTCACCTTGTTTGTCACAAGGTCCTTGGCACCCTGTGCAGCCTCCACAGCATTGACAATAGTAGAAGCGACTGCAGACTTGGTCAGTCCAACACTGTCCTCCACCATGTGTTTAGTGAGGTCTACTGCCTCTGTCACCTTGTTAGTCACAAGGTCCTTGGCACCCTGAGCAGCCTCCACAGCACTGTTAACAGTGGAGGTGACCACTGACCTAGTCAGCTTGACACTGTCCCCAACAACATTTTTAGTGAGGTCTACAGCTTCAGTCACTTTATCAGCCATTGCTTCTTTTGCCTCACAGGCAGCATCCATAGCAGATGTCACTTTGGTGGAAACCAGCTGCTTGGTGTCTGAGATTACCTACAACAGGGAGAGGCAAAGAAAGATACATTTTTTCCTGAAATAGGTTTTCCCTCCCTGAAGTAGCTTTTCCATAAGGCTAAATTGTGCTTGCAGTCTTGTGGGAGAGCTGGGCAAGTCAGTACACCTATATTTACATGGACATGTTCACTTCCACGTGCTGAAGGCACCTCTCCAGCTTTCATCAGCTAGCAGTGCCTCCTCTAGCCCATACCAGGGACTGACCTGACAAAGCAGTGCTGCTGAAGTTTACTTCCCCATATTCTTCTGTACCCATAACAGTTCCATCAAGCAAGAGATCAGGTCATGGCCTCCCCAGGAAAAGCCTTTACTTTACCTTATCTGCTGGCTGTTGAAGAAAAGGCAAGTTCTCCTCCAGTTGATCCAGTCCTTTACAGGCATATTCATTTACAAGTGCAACTAGACAAGACAACAGGTACCAGTTTATTCTTCAATTTGGAGAGGGGTTTTTAACCCTACAATGGCCAATTCAGGATACACTCATGAAAGCAAGCCAAAAAAAAATCACTATTCTGGGGTGGTGTGCGTGTGTGGGGGGTGTCTTGTTAAAAAGTGAACAAACCCTCAATTTGGCAGGTTCAAATAGCCTCCATTTTTGCCTTCCCAGCTTTCCAGCTATTGGCAGCACATTGCTCCCACTGGAATGTAATACCTGCCCCTGGTGGGTAGGGCGATTAGTTTAAAGGCTTGAAAAGTGTTGGGATGAGACAGACTGAGCTATATCCAAGACGGACACTGCTACTACCAGTTGGGATGCTCATAACTTGGAGTGATAGAGAAAGCAGGGAGTTTTTGCTTAGTGACTTAAAGACACCACAGGCAAGAGGCCAAACTTTGTTTCTGCTAGTAACAGTTTCATGTCCATGAAATTCAGTGGGTTCATTGAGCAGCTGGGAGCTGCTGAGTGGAAGACTCAGTGCTACAATTAACTAGAACAATGTGCTATAGGAGATGGGTATCACCCAACAAGCACAGGGAACTCCCCGCCCCACCTATTCCTCTGTGTAGAAAGGGTCATTCCAATCTCTTCACTTACTTTGTGGCTCAAGTTGGTTCAGGATGGGCTGTGCCCCACCAACCACGCTACCTACTGCGACAGCAGCCACAGTCTCAGCCATGTTGCAGACACCAGTGAGGTAAGGATGCGTCTCCTTGGTATAGTTGTAGGCAGATGAGACCAGGTTGAATGCAGAGTTGAGCAAGGGCAAGCTGGTTACCCGATTGACAGCGCTCTAAAACCCAAGAGAAATAAGTGACGTTAAGAGGCCCAGCCTCAAGCTGGTGAGTGAATACAAGCCGTGCATCTGTCCAGAAAGGTCCTAAAGGGACATCCAGTCCATCTCCTCACCCTTCTTAAACTCAGAGTTGAAGGGACTCATCCAAAGACCGTTAGCAAGTCAGTGACAAGACAGGATTAAAAGTTCAAGCTCTGGGCTCATCAGTTCTGAGTCACACTGGGTTTCAGCACCAAACACAGATGTGGAAATAGGGCCTGTAATAGCTCATGTTTCAGAATTACTTGCATTACTTGCACCAGCCCTGAAGTTTTCTCTTGAGCAAAAAAAAGTTAGCTTCTGTATTAGCTAGGCTTATATTTAGCTACAGCTTCATACGGTTAATCTTTCTGCTACACCTAGCCTGGTTTTGAGCTGCTGACGAAAGTTAGTTTACCAGCATATCTGTCAGCAGGTAGTTTAACTGTTGCACCTTAGAGAACTAGCTGCCCTGGCACCTACCTCTTGCTGCTGTTCCTCAGCCTTTAGCAGATCTTTTTCTGTGGTCTTTTCTGATGCCATACTGAATTCAACTGCAGCTGAAAGGAAAAACAAGAGTATAACAGTATGAGTACGACTTAATTTCCTTCAGTGAATTAAGTCTTAGCAAAACTGGTGAAAAGCAGAGGGCAAAGTTGGGATCCATCATTCAGCATGTCCTAGGAACATTAGTGTGGCATCACTAATCTTTCTTGCAAGGGTGTGAGGCTATTTGAGAGGCTCCATGATCTGTGATGTGCAAATATTTATGTAGGACAAGGACTGTACTCAGTCACCTCCCTCAATCCCCAAACAGCCAAATACTTTAAATAACAATCCTACTTTTTTTATTGCTGATAACGTTTGACTGGCTTCAAAGTTGCAGGTTAGAAGTGGGTGAGAACTATCTTATCCATCATGCATTTTCTCTGCTAGAGATACTTCTGGTTCAGCTTCCCACTGCACAGGCTCTTTGCTGGCCAAGGACTGGAAAGCTTGAAGGAAAGATGCACCCTGCAGAAGCAGGGCTAATGGTGGCAATCATTGAATGTTGTCTCACTCGATCGTGACAGATTACTGTCCTTCTAACAAGCCCTGCTGAAATGCAGCTGCAGCAGGGCTTGTTAGGACAGTAGTGTAAGTAATGTTTTAGTTTTAATTTTCAAAGTGTGGCAAACTCAAACAGTTTAATAATGGAGTTTAAAACCAGAAATATTTATTTTGAAAAAACTGTTTGAACCTGCTTAATACCTTTTAAGGGGGAAAAGCCCTCAGATTTCCCCCACTTTGTCTGAAGTAGAGATGGGTTTTACAATGACTTAATCCATTTTCCTCTTTGGGGGGGTGGGGGGGGAAGAGGCTGGCAGGACTTCAGCTCCCCTCCAGAAAGGTGTCAGGGCCAGGGACTGACCAGAGATGCTGAAACAGCAGTAGGCGTATTTTACCTTCTTAAAAAGTGTTCAGTGTTCATAGCCTCTTTCTTCTGAAAGCTCACTCTGGAGCATCCTTTGCAAAGGACATTGAGATGAGAGTCATTTCAGAGTAGCCCCACTATGCCTGTGTTCATAGCGCGGAACTTTTATCAGCTTCTCCACCACTACCAACTCCAGCAACACTGGCAGTCTCACAGCTCTGGAAGGGATATGAAAATCCTTCAAAGGTTTCCTAGAAGAGCGATCCAGGTTTCACAGCTGCAGCATTCTGCCTGGCTACCTTGAAACTTGCATTCCCATCCTACTGACCAGCTAGGTGGGAAATCTCTCCTCACTTTCTGTGAAACCAAGTCTCAGGGGTATTCTCATTACATAATGGGATTAAAGAAGTTCAAGTATAAAAGTTATGCAGTATCTTGCACATGTATTAGCTTCCCTAGCATAGACCTAGGTTGGTATCTGGACACTCCAGTGTTGTGCCATAAATCCAGGATTACTTCTCAGTCTTAGTCAGGCACAGCAGGGACTTCAGCGTATTTGTTCTCCAGTGCAGCATCCACTTTTCTCTCCCTTGCCAGTTAATTCCTATTCTTAGAATTGCTGTGGCATTTTCCAATGGAGAACCCCCAAACCAAAATTCCTCACAAACTGGATTCCCAAGCCAGGCACTGCTCCAGGCTCACTGGCAGACTCTACCCAAAAAAGCTTGCCATCTGATTTGTGACAGGGACCATTGTCTTGTTTCTTGTGGTCTTTGACTTGTGTAAGGTTTTTATTTTGCTGTGGAAACAGGAACAGAGAGCTGGGGAAGAAGCAGTGAAACAAGCATTTGTTAGCCCTGGACCGACATCTCAGGGGGTAACTTGACAGGATGTCAAATATTGCTGCATTAACAGTGCAATTAGTCAGCATTTTAGTTAAGATTCACGCGAGGCAGGGACGCAGAGTGCTACATGTCTACAGCAAAAGTTGTCACAGAAGTTGGGAGCTTCAGCGTCTCAAGTAAGAAGCCCGGAGCCAGCGCTCTTCTGCACATTCCTGGTAACCACCCTGCCCAGGGGGCTGCCTAATTTAACAGCACAGCAAAAATACAGCTTGAACTTTATCAGCCTGGGACAACTTCTAGAAAACCGCTCCAAACAAAAGCAGGGCTTGAACATAAAGTCTCAGTCCCAAAGTCCACAGGGTTTGCTCAGTCAGTGGTTATTCCTCTTGCTCTGCTTTAGGGCAGGCTGTTTTTTTGAAGCTGAGTAGGCTGAATCAGTCTGCAGCCCTTTCACAGGGCAAAGCACAACTATTTCAACACCATTACAAACAACCCCTTTGCTCAGTTATTTTACTTCTGGACGGGTGGGAAAGCCTCAAACCAGCGGAGTGTCTTACTGGCCTTGGTGTCAGGGTTAGCACACCGACACACTGCAGAAAAAAAGAGGAGAGGACTCTAGTTGCTGGCTGATGTAAAAACTAGCATAAGGTTAGAATCAACCTCTGAAGTACTAGGAGCCCATCTTAATTATGGATGCAACCGCATCAGTGACAATCCTTGCAGCACAGTCATGTTAGAACATGGTTTGCTCTCCTCTGTGTAGGAGGAATTGGGGTGTGTTGCAACACCAGTATTTGTGGTGTGGGCAAGTCTTCATGAGCCCACAGCATGGTTTTATTTTCTCTTTCTAGTCTCTTCCCTGCAAGAGTGCTGAGCAGACCTTGTTTTACTTCAGAGACTGCAGGAAAGCACAGTGCTTAGCAACTCTGGGTCAGTTGTTTCAGAATCCTTTGGAGAAAGGCACAGCTTCAAGCCAGGGTAGTTGCAAGCGGGAATCCCAGCAGGCAGACCCCATGCGTGGGAGCCACCAGGCAGAAAAGCAGAAACAGCATCACCATTTGCTTTGGTTACGGTTTGCTTTGTATGAAAGTGATGATCAGATGATTTCATACCATTGCTACATCAGAAATACTAGGTCACTGCTGGAGAAAGTTCCTGAAACAGGTAGTTTCAGAAAGACGAAACTCTTCAGTGCATGTTTCTAGCATGGCACAAATAGCTTAACCGCTGATGATTGCCCAATTTGGTGCAAGTCTGAACTCAGTGAAACAGCAAGGGCAACGACACCAAAGCTGCCAAGCTGCCATCCATTTGCCCTGCCTCGGTCAGACTCAGCCAGTGCAACATGCTAGCCTAGCAGAAGAGCAAGTACTTTCCTGCTGGGGTAAGCACCTCCCTTGATTTCTGTCACTCTGACACTGACCAGCATACATAAAAGTAGTTCTTTAACTTGTGCAAGGTTTTTATTTTTCCTGTGGAAGGAAGCTCTGCCCCGTGAAGACAGCCTGCTGTTGTGTTGTCCTGCAGACAGAGAGGTAGGAGCTTGTTGTTCAGGAAGCTTTTTCTTCCCTCCAAGCATGTTTTACCTTGGGAAGACAAATTGAGCCATAGCTAGCATGCCTGGTTCAATAGCTTAACTGGCAATTCCTTAATGGCCATTTAGGAAAACAAAGCTAAATTTAGTGCTTTAGATATGAGCAGGGAGGGCTAATCAGGGCAGAGGTATTAATTTGTGGTTAAAGCACTTAATTACATTCTTTTTGAGATTTGCCACCGATACCCCAGTTACCATAAATGGAGTCGGCAGAAGTGGGTCACAGGATGTCCGCTGCAGTGGGGAATGGCACTGCCCGCAGCCGAGGCAGTTGTTCGCAAATGCTCCGAGGGCAGAATTAGTTTTAGGAGGAGGATCAGATGATTTTCAGCTTTGACCTTAGGACATCAGTTTCACTATTGCTGGCAGAGGTGCCCACCTAACCTTTCTGGAAAAGCCATCAGCATTGGGAAACCTCAAAGATTAAAGCCACTTTTGCAGATGGAGGCG